ACACCAGTTCCCCTACTTCAGTTCCCCTTCTCAGGCCACCTCCACTCTCTCGTGCCATACCTTGATGTCAAAATAATACATTAATTAATGTATTAATGACATACATTAAGGGAGGCTGCCTGGAGTTCGGCTTTCGGTGCCTCGCCCAGCCCTGCTCATCATTAGGCTGCCAGTTGACTCACCCCTAACTGGGGCAGGGCTCCCCCCTACCCATTTGTCCAGGCTCCCCTGGCCCAGTCTCTCTCTCTGAGGTTTGGCCCTAGCTGCCCACCAGGTCCCCAACTCCACCGGGTCAACTGGGGCCTTGGCCCCTCACAATATGGGGGGAGGGGCTCTGGGACCCTTCCCCTGGGACCCCTTTTCTCTGGTCCTCTCTTCAGGCCTCAACCCCACCAGTGCCTGATTGTCAGCCCTTGGCCCCAAGCACAGTCCACCCCCCCCAAGGCGTCTCTAGGACCACACGCTGGCCCCTCAGCCCCTCCTGTGCCTGGCTGTTGGTCCCTCAGCCCCCCAGGCACATCCCCTTTAGGCCTCCTCCCTCTGCCCCTCCACCCTTCGGACATCTATCCCTCTAGACCTCGCTAAGCTCATGCCTGGGTCTTGACTTTCTTAGCCTTGCCCCCGCTTGCTCTGCCGACCCCTTTTGCAGGGTGGCTTCCTCATCCCCTACAGACACAACCTGGTCCTACGGTCTAATGTACACCCCAAGCAACAGCAAACAAAACATAGACTCATCTCCCACCTATGTAGCCCTGTAGTCCCTCCTTCTACAGCAAGGGTCTGGGCCTTGGGCTCCAGGCTCAGGCTTTTATGACCCTCATTCCTCTGTCTGCCAGTTACCTCACCTGGTTTGTTGCTAATAGGGTCCCGCTCGTTCCCTATTCAGCAGACAAGGGTTCATCTATCTGCAGTCCTGCAGCCCTTTCAACTGAGCTCCTTGCAGGCTGCACCCGCAATGCCACTCCTTTCTCCCTTCCTCCAAGTAACATGGGGGGGATAAGGGTCCCCCGTTACAGTGTACATGTGCATATCATATTATATATTGCAATAATATAGTATAATGCAATGCAATACAATAATACAGTATTGTATAGCTGAGTAGAGTACAGCATGATAAAATGTAATGTAATGCAATGAAATATCCCTCAACTTCTGCTGCCCACTGGCTAAGACAAAATCTGCTACTGTCTTTATTTCGACACTAATTAAAAAAGAAATCATATGTGTGTGTGTGAGTTAATTTATGCACGTTTTTTCACAGCAAGGCCACGAGGAGGCAGTCAAACCCTACGGCAGACCTAAGACATCAGGTTCCCTGCTGACATCAGAGAAGAGTTTGCAGTCTGTATTTACTTTTTTAAATGCACAGATTTATTTAAACATGTATGTGTTGATTTAAAAGATTCTGTATTTATTTTGCGATTACACCTGACAGACACGGCCACGGTCTGTAGCCAACGACTCTTTGTGCTTGGCACTCTCCAAACAGAGACTATCATGCTCCCGGCTGGCAGAGTTGGCAGTCTGTGCATGGTGTTGATGGGAGACAAAGAGCAAGGAGATGCAGAGACGTAAGGGCAGCTCAGGTCGCTGGCCCTGAGCTAGCGTGGGTACCGACGGCAATGTGACTATGGCAGCAAGGCCTGCTCTGGGCCCTGGGCCTTGCAAGTGCTAGCAATAGCCCAGTCAGCTCATTCAAAACTCAGCTAGGAACAGCTACAGCCAAGCTGCGAGGACGCTGCTGGACTGCAAGGCAAACCCCACCTGAGAGCTCGTACCCTAGCAATGGAGGCAGTGCATGAACGCTTGGGAAATCACAAGGCTGCCCTCTAAGCCCCATCATCTTCCAGCTGGCTGTGGAGCCCCTCAGTGATCATGGGGGATCATGGCCCTGGGGGCTCAGTCTTTATGGATGAAAGGCAAACATGCTGGCCTCTGCAGAGGATGTAGTGCTCCTTGCAGACAGGCCTAATGAACTCCAGACGATGCTGGACACCAGCTCTGAGGTGGCTGCTCAGGCTGGGACTCTGGTTCAATGCGTCCCAATGTGCCTCACTGCGCAGGGACTGCTGAGAGAGAAACTGCTACGACCCCTCTCATCATGATGCAGGGTAAGACCAGGAGCCAACAGAGCCAGCTCCGTGCAAGGAAGAGACCGTCTCTAGAGAGTACATTGATATTATCCAGTAGGTACCCTATTGAGAAAAAGGCAGACATGGAGCAAACTCACTGCCCAGATGCACCCTCCCTCTCTGGATTAGTCTGAGTTTTGTCCTTCTCTGTCCATAGAGAAACCACTTGGCCTTCACGACTTCCCAATCATCCGGGAAGCAGTACCTGCACTCAAAAGACCAGGAACCAGAATACATCATTCAAAGGCCAAGTTTCTTCTCCATCCCTTCCCTTTGACTCAAGCCACAAGCATTGCGGATGCCTCGAAGCAGCGTGGGCAGGTGGTACCTCCATTAGCAGAGACATCACATCCTCACGTGCAGAGGAGGAAGCTTCTTTGTCTCCAACTACCCATCTACTGCCTTAATCTCGTGCAGCAGCTATGCCATCTACTTCTAGCCCTCTGCTTCTCATGTGTGCCCACCAGTGGCTGTCTCCACTTCTCTCGCCCCTTCCCGTTTGCTCACCCGTGTGCTCACCATCCCACCTTGTTTGCACTGACTCCTCTCTTTCTACTTCCCATGTGCCTACCAAAGCCATCTCTCCACCAGTTACTGGGTGCTACTGGTCCCTACAGGATTGTACTGGCAGCAATATTAGACCACAATTGGGCTTGTTCACACAGTGAAGCTCCTAAGAAGGAAGGATGCTAGCTACTAATTCCCCATGTTCACACTCTTCATGTGAGCTAGCTTGCTTCTCTATGAAATTCACACCCAAGCTGACTTTCATCGGGCCACAGAAAATTAAGGCTGGAAGATCATCTAGTCTAGCCCACTGCTCAAGGCAGGAGCATCCCTGACTAAATCACCCTGCTGCGTGTCTGTGCAACCTGCTCTTGAAAGTTTCCAAGGAAGGAGGAGATTTCACCACTTCCCTAGGTGCTTATTCCAATGCTGGGCACCCTCAGAGTCAGAAAGTCCCTCCTCATCTCCAGTCTAAGTTTCCTCTGCTGCAGCCTGAGGCTATTGCTCCTTGTCCTGTCCCCTATGGCCACAGAGAAAAGCCCATCTCCATCCTCTGTATAATCACCCTGCAAGTATTTGAAGACTGTGATCAAATCCCACCCCAGTCTTCTCTTCTCCTGGCTAAATGACCCTAGTTCTTTCAGCCTTTCCTCATCAGTCTTGCTTCCCAGGCCCCTAATCATTTCTGTTGCCCTGCTCCAGACTCTCCAATCTGTCCATGTCTTTCTTGAAGCGTAGGGCCCAGGACGAGACGCAAGACACCGGGAACGGTCTCACCAATGCTGAATAGAGTGGGAGAATCACTTCCCTTGATTTGCAAGTGACACTCCTGTTGATACTGCCTAGGATGCCTTTTCTGCAACAAGAGCACCCCGTTGGCTCAGATGCAGCGTACGGACGGGCCACTGCGACCCCCGGGTCTTTCTCTGCAGTGCTGCAGCCTACTCCTCTCCCACGCATTTCTGCATGCAGTTGCTCCACCCAAGTGCAGCACTTTTCCCTCGTCCTTGCTGAATCTCATCTCATCGACTATGGACCACTTGTCCAGTGTGTCCAGGTCATTCTGGATCCGAGCCCGGCCCTTTGTACTGTCCATAATTCTGCCCAACTTTGCAGTAACCTCCTCATGAAACAAACTCTTCGATTCAGAGCCAGGAGGGGCTTTGATCAATCCCAGTGGAATGACAGAGCAATTCCTTTTCCTCACCCCCACTTCCAAACATCAAACACAGGAAGGAGCAGAAAGGGAGACAGGAGCAACAGGGTTAATCCCACCCTCAGAAATCCAGCCTGAAAGTTTCAGCAGTTTTCCTTGGAGCGTCCTTGCTTGGTAGGGTAGACAGCAACCTGCTGGCGTGAGGAGCATGAGCTGCCTCAGGTAGGACCTGAGTTCAGCTAAAAGTGTCTGACTATCAGAGGAGAAAAAGCAAAAACCCTCAGCAATCCTTAGCTTGATCGGAAAGGCTTGTGATGTGCAATAGCAGAGGGATGCATTGCACGATCCAGGGGAGCCCTTCGGGTCCGACGTCTCTTCCCCTCTCAGGGGCAGCCCCACTTCTCCGATGGGTTCCCAACCTAAGTGAGTTCATGACCACTTTACACTCATTTGCTCTTGTACCAACACTGTCCTTTAGCACAGAGCATCCTTTTTCCCTCCCTAGTGTTCATCCCACTCAAGGGATTGAAACCAAGAAATGCTTCCTCCCCCACCACAGCTCGGCCTTCGTGTTGCTGAAGCAGGCAAGTTTTTTCAGTCCCTCCTCATCAGGCAGACTCCTTATTCTCCCATCCACCCTCGCAGCCCTTCTCTGCACCTCTTCCCATCTGAATTCATCCCTCCCAAGCATGAGTCAGGCTTGGAGGGCATAATCCAGGGCTGCTTACAAGGGGAGAAATGCTTGCCAATCTCTCCTACCTCTCTTGCTACGTCTGAGGATCACGTTTGCCTCTTTGCATCCTGATCGCAGCGCTGTCTCGCTGCAAGTGACTCTTACACCTTTTCTCTTCCTCCTCTCGCTTCCAACTGGGGAGCTCCCGGCTCGGAGCAGGAATTCCTGCTGTTAGCCCCGAGGCACATAAGCTTGCCCTTTGCCCCTTTACATCTCATCCTGCTTCTGTTCCTCTGGGCCATCCGGTTCTTCTGACACGTGTCCTAACGAGGTCTCCATCCCAATGCCCAGAGCACTTCGTCAGCACGCTTCTATCTTGGCACCACTGCTGTTCGAGCCCGGTCCCACAATCAGTCCCCAAAAACCGCACTAGTAGCCTCCCTCTGACCCGACACTTCCTCTTCAGTTGCTGCGCCTCCTCCCCGCCCGTTACATCCTTCCCCACTTTGTGGGTCTTTTCTGCTTTAGCGAAAAAGAGGAAATGAGAGTTTCCATTTCCTGCTGCTGAGCGATTTGTGGTGTGACCTTTGGCAATGCCCGCGGCCTCCCTTTCTCCCTCGGTTAAGCAACGGCGATTCTTACCTTGCAGGGCAGAAGGGAGGGAGGAGAGCCCCTGTGTGCACTCCCACCGGGCACAGATGGAGCGTGCTTTCGTGTGTGACCCTCCGTTTCCCTCGGCAAGGACAACGAGAAGGGGGGCGCAAAGCTCCGCAGCCCAGCTTAATAAAGCGATCACAGGGGTGAGCAAATGCCAGGTAATCCCTGCAGGGACTGTGTCAGCAGGACGAAGATTAGGTGGTCGTTACTGCTCATTAAGTTGAAGCACTGTGGAAGGGGCTGAAGAGCCTATCGAGGAAAAGCGGCGAAGTGGGGTCACGTCCTCCACAGCTGGCAAGCCCACCCTTGCTGGGCCAGAATAGGGGACATCTCCAAAACGCCGGCGAGGCAGCACGGTTTAGTGGATAGAGCACGAAGACTTGGTGCCAGGACTTCTGGGACCCATGCCTCGCTCTGACACTGACTCACTGAGGGACTCTTGATATCCCTTTTATCAAATGACCCTGGAGGGATGGGAGGCTCAATTAGCAGCTGGATGAGCTTTGCTCCTGTCTTGCCTGTCACTTCATCTTGCATCTGTGTCTGCACCGACTGGGGTAGTGATTCCCAAGCTAGAGGAGGGGAGGACTGGTCGATCAGCTCAGCGCTGGCAGTAGCCTAACTCGTGGCACTCTCCAGCTTCGAGAGGCGTTTAGTAACATTTACCTAGCGTGTCCGCACGGGGAGGTGAGGCAGCGGTCCAGTTTAGGGCATGTTATTGCTGTGAGTGACCAAGGCTATGCATGTGTGAATGAGACCAGCACCTAATTTGCTCCAAATTCTCTTCTCCGGGGCAGTGCTGGGTTGGTATTTTATTTGCTGGTAATAGGTTCTCATTGAGTTACCAGGAGCTGGGGCCTCTCGGGCACCCTGTCTGATAAACAGAAATACTCTGAGCAGGATCTGGGAGGAAATAGCTCTGCATCCCAAGGGAATGCTGCTTTCTCCTGAGACTTGGCTTTTGTAGCAGCGATCCCTCAGGTGCCCTCAAAGAACCAAGAAGGTGCACATGGGATGTCCCTCGTTCTTCTTCCCTCAGCACTGAAATGCAGCAGCTTTTGCAGCAAGGGCTGGAAAGTTTCCAGCCTTTGGGGGTGATGGTAGGAGGAGATGGGAAGAGCACAGAAAACTAGCATGAGCTCAACAAGCTGCCTCCTCCTTCCCAGGCACCACCTGAAACAAAGAGATGGGAGATGATGAGGCTTTCTAGGGGCTTAGCAGGGCCACAGCAAAACCACCTTCCCCCCGTGGTCCAAAGCTGGATCCCTAGGAGGCACAGGAAGGCACCAGGAGAAGAGACCCTTACCCATCAGGCTGCTGCTGCCTTCTCTTAATAAATCCCAGGTGACCCGGGTCCCGGTTCAAGCTGTGGGATGCTGTTGGTGCCACTGTCTGGACTGACTGAGTTGGGATTTTGGAGTCTGGGACCTTTCCTCCTTGTCCCAGTGGATGGGAACCCAGGCAGGCACAATACCTGACTCCTGGGGCTACTTCCAGCCTGGACTGCCTGCTCCTGGGTTGCTCATTGAGCTCGTTGGCACAGATAGCCATGTGGCATGAGATCAAGTAGAAACCCCCCTCCATACCAGGAAGGCCATACAGAAGACACGGCTCCCTCTCTGGTCTTTGGTCCATATCCAAACCTCGTCCCCCATGGGCCTGAGTAGAGCTCAGGCCCAGAACCAGAGCATGCTCCCTTCATCATCATTTTGCCCTGACACCCTTCCCAAGTCTCTCAAAGCACCAGGTGTGAAACAGCCTGACAGTCCCATTTAATGCATCTCCCCATCCCCAGCATGGTGCTGGCCCCAGCAGACTCTCTTCCAGGGCTTTGCCTCGGGCAGGTTTTACCTACATCCCCAAGGCATCTCTGGTGCAGTGTATGGCTGTCACTGACTGCAGAGGAGCCAGACGTACCCGAACTGGCTTTCTCAGGGACCAGGAGCGGTCTCACCATGGCACAGGGCTTCTCCTGCGAATGCAGTGTATGCCAACCCTCTGGGACAAAGAGAGGCTATGGCAGGCTGGACCTCCCCGGGGCAAGGCTAGCACACGTGTGCAGTAAATGTCACCGAATAACTGTGCACCAGTGCTATGGCACAGTAACCCTAGGTACTGTGCATTTAGGGCTTTTATAGATATGATCCAGGAGGTATGTTGGGGGGGGGGGTGCTTTAACTAGCAAACCGCGCTATTTAAAAGCACCCGAGCAGCACGTGTATCAGCATCTCTATGCTGAAAAATGGCGGAGGGGAGCCTTGAACTAAAGCTCATCAAACCAGTTTTAGTTCAATCCCCGCCACCATTTTTCAGCACAGCGATGCTGATACACGTGACGCTGGAGGCTGCTGGAGCATGTTCATTTCCATGCTCCCACAGACTCGATTCATCTGGAGATGTGCTGGATTTACAGCACATTGGAGCAGCCTCGCTGCGTGTCTATAGGAGCCCTTAGTTTGTATTTTATTAAGGAAGCGCTAAACTAAATGTGCAGTATCTAAGGTGAATTAATGAACATGTAGATGCACCCACTCTGGCTCAGATTCCCGCCCCGATGTCCTAACACATTAACCTGCCGATTGTAGTGAAAGCGTTGAATCTGCACGTGTGACTCTGAAGTTACTTTCTGTTGAATCTGCTAATGCCAACGTATGCCTAGTTTTACTTGATGTTCGCAATAAAGTCGGTGCTTGCCGGTCTGACTGCACTCTTACCCACACTTGGGGCTGGGGTCCTTTATTTATGAATGCCCTGGACAAACATAACAAAGCCCTTGTCCCAGAATGCACCGCTCCCTCCCGAGAGTCGGTGCTGGGCCCTGCAGCCCTAGCTGCAGGGCTGTGGGCATGCACGTTCCTGACATGCCTGCAAACTCTGTGGCTTCCATCGTCACCATATCTGAGCACTTTCCAACCACGCATGACACAACCTGCCATGTGTTGTCTATTCCTTCATCACCTCCCCAGGCCGGTCGAGTGTTTTGAAAGGTGTTGGGATTTTCACGTACACGAGTTGCTTCATACTTACATAAGAGACACGCGCCTTGTGCTTGGAACCGAAGGCGGGTTCGGTCCATGGTCTCAGACCAGCCCTCAAGAAAGTTGTCTCCTGCAGAGAGGAGCTTCACCCTTATTGCCACTGTCATTGCCAATGACAGGCTGCACCCCAGAGCTTTGGGGGGTTGTTTGGCTGTCCTGGACCATGATGGTCCTTGGAGATAAGGAATGAGACACAGAATTTGATTTGAAATTTGTACCAGCTTTGTACAGGGCAGAGGGCAGATCTGATGGGTTGCTGAAGAGATGCACACCAGCCTTCTAGATTAATTGTCGTTCCCTAGGTGCCACCAGTTTCACACCCAAGTACATCACCTTGCTGTAGTGAGGTGACCAGGGCATGCAGAGCTGAGTCCAGATCATCATCTGCTGGGATGGGATAGTCTTCTACCCCCCAGATGTATCAGCTGCCGTTACCCCCAGAAGCTGCTCCAGGAAGGGACGGCATCAATGAGGAAACTAAGTCTATAGCATCAGAAAAATCTGGATTGACCAATTGTGGGTTTGTACCATCTATCCAAATGACATTGCATTATGACTACAAACTCTTCCAGGTGTTTTGTCCCTCTGCCATTACCACCTGTGTCTAATGTCACGGAGCCTCGCCCAGCTCTTCCTCATCTCTGAATCCATCTTCTCCAGACACAGGGCTACCTTGGTGGCAGCGATGGCGTCACACGGGTCAAGGCTAGAACTGTGTTATCTGCAACTCTCTAGCACCCAGACTTCAAACAGCTGATCCAAAGCCCATTGAAGTCAACCGCAAGACTGCGATTTGTTTCTGAGGCTCTGGATCAGGACCCTAAGAGTTAAAAAACACACGTATCACTGGTCAGGAGCTTGATGCTCTTTGAGAGGTGTTTTGCCCTCCCATCTCAAATGGCGTTTTCTCCTAACAGGCCTGCTGCGATGTGTTGGGGAAGCAAGGTTTGGTCATTAAACCAACATGGCAGCACATTCTCCCCCCTGATTCAACACCTGGGTCATTCTCTAAGGACCCCAAAATCTCACACCCCTCGTACTCCCACCTATCCTCAAAGTCCTTTTCTAGCCACCTCAGCACTCGGCACGGGGAGGAAAGTGCACAAGTCCCAAAGAAAAGGGATGTCACAGAGAACATCCCCTCCATCACTCCTTTCTCTCTCCTATCGCTAATCAGCCCCAACTCCACTGCTTCCCATAGCCGTGGCTGCAGTAATGCAGCCCAAGCAGAGATGCTGCCAATCTCCCACGTGTGCTGGTCTGCGGCCACTTAGGTCTTTACAAAGCAAAACCAGCATTTTCGGCTCCACATGGAAGTCAATAGAAAGCCAATGCAATGCCCACATATCCTGTGCTTGCACTTGCTGAGCAGGCTACTGCACCAATTGCATTTCTCTGTGGGTTTTAGAGGTAGCCTCATGTATGACGTGTCACGACCATCCAGTCTAGTGGGGACAAGCAGG